GTGATGTTTAGATCATATATTATGGGCCAGTGTGGTCTAGAAATCAATGGCTAATAGCCAAGAATGGTCAGGGATGCAGCCCCACGCTCTGGGTGTCCCTAAACCTCTGACTGCTAGAAGTTGGGACTGGATGGATGACACCCAATTGTGCAAATCAGTAGAACTCTTCCTTGTTTCACAGGTGAGAAACTAAGCAGAGAAGTTTCTCCAAGGCACTGTGGCAGACCGGGATTAGCCCTCCAGAGTTCCTTGCTGCCACTCCTATGCTCAGAATACTGTCTCTCTCTAACAGGTATTTACAACCTGTATGTTCAGCAGGTTTATGGTAGCAATATGGAAACGAAGTGATGACATAACTTTATTTTCACATGGAGTCCTTGGTATGATTGTTTAAAAGCCAGCCGTGGCCTGTAGACAAAATTCATCCCTGTTGTACACAAGCACGTCCCACTTGACTCCAATGGGGTGTCACTTGCTTAGACCGCAGATGAATTTGGCCCCATAAATGCCTGTACGCCAGCAGCCCTCTATTTACTCTAGGCAGATTGAGTGGCCAGTTGGTAAGTTACTGGTATGGATTTGAACTAGTGACCAAGAACTGACAGATGCAATATCCTGTTACCAATCCTCCGAAATGTCCAACCCTCTCTCATCGGCCATCGTTTGGCATTCTTAGCGCACAGTCCAAGAAAATTACCCATCCGGTCTGCACTCTGAAGGCCCTGGAGGGTGTGTTTCTTTAGTCATGAACAGCCTGCTAGTTGGTGAAAGCTGGGCATGACTTTTCCTGAGTCGGGCCCTTAAAGAAATATTTGCTCAGCTTCCCCCCAGCTGTAATGCCTGACTCCCATCATGCTCTCCCTGCTGTCATCTCGAAATGAGAGCAAAGCAAATGCCTGAGATGCCTTTTACATGTTTCTCATTAAACAGGCACATAGTGCTAAGCAACAGCTTTAATTGAAATGGAAATGGGGAGCAGTGGGTGATGAAAAATGCAGCTTTGTGGAGAAGCTACAATATCGTTTTGACACTGAGCTGTCAGGTTTTATCAGAAGGAGTTGCAAATTCTCTGCAAAACTCCATGGTCGAGGACTGGAGCTTTTGGTCCAAAATCCTTCTTTCAGGGTGAAAAGATCTATGACCAGACTAAATCATCATGTTACAAAAGTAACTTGGCCTTGGTTACACAAAGGAACCATTCAGTCAGAGCAGAATGACCCAGTTGTGGATTCTGGGACAGAGTTATTTTCAAAAAAATTTTTTTTTTCAAACCAAAGAGAGTTGAACCATTTGACTGAAACAACCTTGCGATTCTAACGTTTCGCGCTGGGGCAAACATTGGAAAAAACAGCCGCCCACTTCCCCTCTGCCAGTAACTTTCTGAATTCCCATTCTCAATGTATTAAAAAACCTATTAATAGAACTCTTTACTATTGTAACAAATCCATGACTATGAGCTCTCGCTGTGGTGCACATACTGGCCAATTAGCACTTAATAGGGACAGAACTCAGATCCTCCCGCTCCACCAACCAAGGGCCAAGGTTTTCAAAAATCAGAGTGACATTGTGGCCGCGTTGCAGTCACTGGGAGTTTTGCCTTTAACTTTATTGGGGCCAGGATTTCACCTTATGTGCCTAAAGTTAGGCTCCTAAATCTCTATTTAGGCTCTCAAGTGGCCTAATTTTCAAAAGGGCTGAGAATCCCGGTGCTCCATACTTTTAAAGATCACTTACTTGGGAGCCTAACTCTAGGCTCCAGTTTTAATAATCTTGGTCCAGGTTCTTACTACTCAACGACTAAAGCAGAATCACTATTAGCTGCTAGCAGTATAGGGCATATGCTACAAAGTTTAGCTATTCTGATTCCATTAAGCAGAAAGGGGTGTAACACACACATGGATGCCAGCTCAATGCAGTATTAATACAAATCTCCCCCCCCCCACCAAAATATAGCATACATAGAAAGTTATCCATCAAAGACATGGTCTATTTGCAGGAAATGATTGATACCTATTTCTATCATAGATGAAAACAGCAGCCTTTGTCTGCACGGTCGATATATGCAATCCAGGGTACTGCCGTTGTGCTTCATTGCCTTCTCCTGGCCCAATGCATCGCTGGGATAGCAGACTAGGAGACCCACAGTCAGCTGTGTGCCAGGAAGCATACATGCCCTGTAGGTTCCCATGGTGATAGTGGGCTCCCTAGCTCCTGGCACCCAGAGACAACTTGTCAACCACATACTGTGCTGGTACAGTATGTTCTCGATGCACTCACAGAACAATGACCATGTGTTAACAGTCTCTCTAACCCTGCTGCCCAGCCACCTTTACCATTGCAGCTCTGCCCTTTTCACTCCTCTTCCTTCAACGGCAGGAAGAGCCTTTCTGCTCCCGCCAAGACCCAGGTTCGGGAATTTGTGTTCCGCTTGGTGCCATTGCGGACCACAAACGCAGCAGGCAGTACAGCCTCCTGCTCTGTTAACGATGGCAAACCTGACCTCTGCTTTCAGGAGGTAAGTATGGAGACAGAAGTGGATCTATGGTTTTGCAATGATGCGATCAAGCCCCACAGATGGAAGGTGCGGTAGCAGTATAAAGGGTTGTTGTCATGGCAAAAATGTCAGTGAACTGGAGCCTCCTGGCCTCATAAGTGGAGACTTAATCATGTCCCAATTTTTTCCTGAGAGATGGAACCCGGCCACAGCAAAGGCGATTCGAGTCATGACCCCGCGTCTCTTCCCAGAAACTGCACCTGGTGTTTTCCGTTTCTTTGGTAAATTCTGCTTCAATTAAGCTTCTTGAGGATAGTGTGGAAGGGGGAGAGATCTTCAAGGAGCCTCAGTAGCTGGTTGGTTGAGTGTGTGGTAAAGCTGTGCAACTTATAATTTTTTACCCCATCTCACCAGTTGGTTTCTCTCCATTTAAAAAAAGCCCTATATTGGGCTCTGGGTTAGCTTTAATTTTACAGGACATGAAGCAAACAGATACCAAGAACTTGCCCATAAAGTGTACAATATCCCAGTGGAGCGTAAGAAAACGAGTAAGGCACAATCCTGATCGGTACAGACGAGATTCAGCCAGACCATCAAGAGTTGAGGAATGATTTAATCTTGATAGGTTGGAGGGCATTATAGCTTTAAATCAAAGAGTTGAAATAAATGTTGTGGTCTCTATGAAGGTGTTTGGATCCTTCCACTGTTGAAAGATTATTTTAATGGCTAAGGTTACTAGTAACACACAGAATGCTGACTGGTTTATAAAGTGTTTCCTATATTAACATGTACGGATTGTATATTTTCCCTGAGAATGCTACCAAATGGAGTAGAAAGAAGAAACAAACTAAACTCTCACAATGGATCCAGTCACAAACATGTCCTGTCCCTCTTCAGACATATTAGTAAGAGTGGGCTGGATTGCAGGCTTCATTTCACTTTGCCATTATGGCCCTGTTGCAGTATGTGCCATCTGTGGGATCATAATTGACTGCAATGTGATTTAATTACAGTAATGGGTTTTTTTCCACTTCGGATGAAGAAAGTAATTTGAAGATTTAAATCTTCCTTTGGCATAAAGATTTTTTTTCTTCCCCTCTCCTCAGAGAACTCTAAAAGAAAGAGTGCAAAGTATTTTACTTATTATCATAGATACGTGCTGTAGAATCTCATGCATTCTCCTATCTGCCAACCCCAAACCTAATCATTCTTCCAAATCTCTCCTGCCAGCCTTACCTCACTTGTCAGCAAAGATTTAGTGGGGCGAAGTCTCCTAAGGTTTCATTGACATTACTGAACACTTACTACAGAGATTTATCACAAATAATCAAAACCGACACAATTGTCAAAGTAAGTTTGCGGAAGCGGTAGCCTGTTTAAAAATAGTCTCTTTGTTCGTTTACTGAATCACGAAATTTAGTATCCCTGACTGAGGATTTGTTTCCACTTACCGGGAGGATCGACATGCGGTGATCGATCCATGGGGGGTTGATTTAACGGGTCTAGTGAAGACCCGCTAAATCGACCGCAGATTGCTCTCCCGCCGACTCTTGTACCCCACCAGAACAAAAAGCATAAGGTAAGTCGACGGGAGAGTTTCTCCCATTGACCCAGCGCGGTGTAGACACCACAATAAGTCGACCTAAGGTACGTCGACTCCAGTTACGTGAATAACATAGCTGGAGTTGTGTAACTTAGGTTGACTAACCCCATAGTGTAGACCTGCCCTGAGTCTCCCAGTCATTGGTGCAAATCAATGAGGAATGTAATGCAACTGTGTATGGCATATATGAGAATCTTCTATTCTTTTCCAGTTGTTCTCCCTTCATATTCAAAACAAAGCCCCAAAGATTGCAGTGTCACTATTTCAGGCAGCAGTGGTTTGGACAAGTACTGCAGAATACAATTGTTCGTGCTAATAGAGAACCCTCCTGTGTTTTCCACTTTCAAGGTCAGAATTGTCACTGTGCCAAGGTTCTTTTGCTATTCCAAATATCAGGAGTTCCAGGCCAAACTGCAATGTGGACTTTGAAACTCACTGTCTTTGTAGTGTGGTTGCCTGTTGCCACTTGTTTCCAGTTTATGCCATGATTTCTCCTCTGAAACTTAGTACTGTGTAATGGTAAAAATGCATCTTTGGCGTGCATGGAATTTGCTTACTTTATTCCATGTGTCAGCAGTGCTGAACACTGTACATTTTAAGGTGAATAGCTTACTTGGGGCCAGAAGAGTATCCTTACTCACACTGGGTGAAATCATGGTACCTTGAAGTCCATGGCAAAACTCCCCGTGGCATCAGTGGGGCCAGAATTCCATCCATGGTACAGGACTTTACTCTGCAAGTGGTTTATTCATTTCAACAGAACTATTCATGGTGTAAGGTGATTACAATCTGGCTCTTGGTTAAGACCCAAATATCTGATGGTCCAGTTATCTCAAATGGGTGCTGACAGTAGCTATTTCAGTGTTTTGTTTGTTTTAAAATCATTCTTCTTTCTTTGTCTAGCTGGAATCAAGATGACGACAGCTGCACCACTGGGAAATAATACCCTGTCTCCAACAAATGTGACCACAAAGTCTCAAGAAGAAATTCTTTATCAGAGTAAGAAAAATATTGTGACAATGGATATATTTGAGTTGCATTTTAAATGCCATGTGTCTGGGGAAGATTTTGAAAAGATGTCCGAAAACATTCCCATGTGCAAACATTGTTACACAAGGGACTTATACAAAACTGCCACATCACGCTTTGAAAATTCATCCTCCTAAAGATAATCAAAATTAAATAGAATAAAATGGATTTTAGTGAGCTTATTTTAAAAAAGTGTCAGTCTTGAAGGTCCTGTTTAAATGCAATTGTACGAGTTTTTGATGTGTGTTTTGATTCTTTCAGCTATTAAATAGACACTGACTACCTGAAGTAAGGACAAAAGTCTTCTGTTACTGATAACTTATTTTTTTATTAATTGTTTTTATTAATCTAGTTTACTCGACATCATTTGCTAGTTTTGCAGAATTTACTAGCCCAGGCACAAAGTCTAGTAACGTGCCCTCTAGTATAAAGATTGTAATGAAAAACATAGGATACATAGAGCATACATAGGATATGTAAGCACCTTGGGGGGGAGGCATAGCTCAGTGGTTTGAGCATTGGCCTGCTAAACCCAGGGTTGTGAGTTCAATCCTTGAGGGGGCCACTTGGGGATCTGGGGCAAAAGCAGTACTTGGTCCTGCTAGTGAAGGCAGGGGGCTGGACTCAATGACCTTCAAGGTCCCTTCCAGTTCTAGGAGATGGGATATCTCCATTAATTATTATTATTATTATTATTATATTATACGTAGGTATGTGCTTAACTTTATGCACAGTGAGTAGTTGTTTATTGGGAGCACCTAGAGGGCCCAGCAGAGATCATAGCCTCATTGTGCTGGGCATCACAGATTCTTGGGGTGTGTCTACACTGCAGCTGGGAGTAGGCGTCCCAGCTCAGATAGACGCACTAGCTCTGCCCCAGCTATTGCTAAAAATAGCAGAGTGGCCAGGGATAGTACGGGTAGCAGCTCAGGTTAGCCGCCTGAGTACAAACCCACCTGGAACACCTGGGTGGTTAGCTTGAGCTGCTACTCTCAGCTACACTGCCATTTTTAGCATGCTAGCAGAAGTGGAGCTATTGTGTATCCATCTGCAGGGCCGGCTTTAGCAAGTGCAGGGCCCGATTCCTGGGGCGGCACTTCAGATTGTTGTCAGATGCTACCGGTGTGGTGCTCTGCTTTCTCCTTTGTTGATATCACTCGGCTGCGTGCGTGTGTTCCCTCTGTGTGCTGCCCCAGCTCTGCGCAGACAGCTGACCCAGCAGACCCGAAGAGAACCCCCAATAACCAGAGTCTAGTAAGGCACGAAGGCACCTCGGCCAGGTTTATTGCAACCCTGACACAATTGCAGTTCCCCGTAGATTACTTAGTCTACTGGGCATACTACGAGAAAGTGCCTCTTGGCAATGGACTCAGCTCAGTCAGTGGCGGGACTTTCCACTGCCCCCTCGGCTGGACAAAGACACCACCCCAGGGATACATTCTTATAGACAGGTACAAACAAGTTACACATCACTCCTGACATATTGAGGTGCAACCCCTCTACGCAGCAAGGTACAACCCCTCTACGGAGTAAGGTGCCGCCTCTTACCTTGTACATGTTGGTTCGATCAAAACAACTCTATCCATCATTTTACCCTTTTGCCCGGCATTGGGATGGGTCGGCCTGTTCCATGTTATCTGTGGAATGTTCCAGTATTGGAGTGTTCTGATATCTGGTGTCCAGTACCTTTTAGGTCTGTCTCTTTTTGCAGCATCAGCCCTTTCCTTGTCAGCTTCTGTGAGCAGGTCCTGCCTTTGGCTCACAGCTTAACTTTGCTTTATGTTAGCAAAGTCTTGACCATTTCTTTAGTTCAGGCCTCATACTGGGCCTTTATCAGAGGCTTCACTTACTACACAGATTGCCGGCTGGGGGAGGGAGTGCCGCAGGGCTTGCCGCGCTCCAGCCGGCGCTCCGGCCAGGAGAGCGGGGCCGCAGGGCTTGCCACGCTCCGGCCGGCCACTCTGGCCAGGGTGAGTGGGGCCCCTGAAGATGACTGCCGCCGGGGTGAGTGCGCGGGGCCCTCTTAGGCACGGGGCCCAATTCCGGGGAATCGGCCTAAAGCCGGCCCTGTACATCTGCCCAAGCTGGGAAGCACGTTCCCAGCTGCAGTGTAGACATACCCACACTAAGGGAGAGTTCCTGCCCCAAAAAGATGAAACAGACAAAGGGTGGAAGGGAACACAGAGGCACAGAGAAGGGAAGCGACTTGCCCAGGGTCATATAACCGGTTGGGCAGAGCCATAGGTCTCCTGAATCCCCACCCACTGGACCAGACTGTCTCTCAATGGGTTTGTTTACTTATTGTATTTCCTTCAGCAAAGATTAGGAAAACAGACCAGTCAGTTTGTTTTATTTTAGTCAGTTTTACTCTCTAATTCTTAAGCGCTAATTCGGTGCCACAGTGTTTGGAGTTAAGCCTTTGCCTGCAGAGTTTGCACCTCAAATCACTGTTTTTCCGGAATAAAAATAAAAATGGAAACAGGTTTTGGAAATCTTTTTCTCTTTAAACATGTAACTTAAATTAAGCGGGCAAAGTCTTGTTCAAGCAATACAATAAAAGCTATTTAAACAAAACATGCTCAGTCTTTTTTCTTGCCCCCCTCGTAGGTTCCGGAGCAATCGTAGCTGCCATCGTAGTTGGAGTGATTATTATATTCACAGTGGTTCTGCTCATGTTGAAAATGTATAACAGGTACATGGCTTTGTTCCTAATTTCTTTTATGTAGCTAAGGTTAGACAGGATAAACCGAAATCACTGCCACGTGCTTAGAATTTCTCAGGTCTATGCTGTCTCACAGGCCATTTCAAGGACTTAATTGCCGAAATTCCAAGGACTTAAAATTACAATACACATTCCTGATTGTTCACTTGAAATTTCAGACATCATAACCATGCTCTCTTGCTACCTTGAGGATCTTGTCTTTTTCTGTTCTTTCCACTCTGCTAGCACTGGTTTCCTTGCTGTCCTGCCTTCTCTGCCACGCATTCTGATATCTCAAACTTCAGAACAAAACATTTTAAATTCCTTTTGCATATGCCGCTTGATGTCTCTCTCTCCTTCTGCTATTCTGCTGTATTTAAAAACTGTTTTAGATGCAGTTTTCATGAAAGATTCAACAAGAAACAGAAATGTAACTTCCCCGTCCTCCTCCTTCCCAGTTCCATTTCCTTTCCCTCTCATCCTGATTGCTGGCCCTTCCTGCCCCCTGCTGCTCCACTACCTGTGCTGCCTGTCCCACAGCAGCAAACTGAAACTGACCAGAAATCAGGTCAGTTTCACTGTGCTCCAAGCAGGATATTCAAAGTGGATTTGTCTGTTTTTACATTGTTGCTTTCCAAGATACAAAAAGCATAAATGAATGCAAGTCTGGCAGAGGCTTTTTGCATGCCAGCCCCAGGTTTTGTCTACCATTTTCTGGCATATGCTGCCCTCTGGTTACCTGCTGCTTTCCAGATGAGGCAACTTAAATGAACCAGGTTATCTTCATGAATCCTGAAGGACTTTGTGTCTTCAGTTTTCTTTTTGTACCTGTGGTGACAGAAGCCTGCTGCCTTTTGTCTCAGTGGAGGCTACAGATGCCCACATGTTAGACAGGGCAGACGGGCTTCCTGTTTGTTTTCAGGTGCTAATTATCTATAAATCCCTAAATGACCTGGGTCCTGGCTGAAATTTTTGGAAGTAAAAAATGTATTTGAAAAATGGCCTTTTTCAAAAAGTAAAATCTTTGCAAAACCTTGACTTTCATTTTTCATGACGCTTATTCAAATTTTTTCATTCAGCAATAAAATAAACTTGGGGGGGGGGGAGAGAAACAAAAAAGATCCATTTCATACCCCGCAAAACAGTAACAACTTTGAAAATTTTTCAAAAAACAATGTACTCTTTTTTTCAACCTGCTGTACTGGTCATTTCCTCCTCTTCCCCATCCCCCGTTACAGTTAGCCAGCTGTAATGCTCTCACGGCCTGTCCCCAAGGATTAACTCTTGGAGCAGGCAGCAGAAGATTCTTGGTGTTGGCCCCTGTTCTTTGGAACTCATTGCCCGCGTTTAGCAGAGTGGGGCAACAGAGAGCTGCTGCTTCTGGCATGTTCGTGGAGGAAAGTGAAGTAGGGTGTAAATCTAAAACTCTCGTCACCACACTGATGAACCATTAGTAACACTGGGTTTCAGTTAAAATCTTGGGATGAAATCTTGGCTCCACTGACTAAAATGGCAGGAATTCCCATTGACTTCAGTGTGGCCAGGATTTCACCCTTGATGTTCAATGCACCATGATTCTTGCCATTTTCCCCCAGACAGGACTTAGAATAGGAGAGCCCACACCCGGACAAGTAGGAAATGATGATGAAATTTTAATTTCTCTTTACAGACACATGAGGGCAAAACGAGAGCTGGAACCCACAAGCACCAAAGTCAAGACCCCACCTACTTTCGGTCAGAACAGTACCAATGCTAATCAACCCACAACAGTAACTATCATACCAGTGGACATCCATATGCAGAACAGATGACTGTGGACGTTGGCCCTACCTATGAGAGATCACTCTCCTTGAAGAATGAGACATGACAACCAGACTCTTTATTCACATAGACCTGTGACTCTTTACCAGAGGAGAATTGGCACTGGTACAGTGACTACGTGTGGAGTTGAAACCAAGGATTATGTGGGTAACTGGCCACGTTTTCTTTTAGTAGAAGGAAAAAATAAAATGCTGAGCACCTTTGTATGGCCGATCTAACAATGTGATGGCATCATATCAACAGGAAAATGAAGAGTCTTATTTTCTCTGTAGAAGTTAAGTGGCAACAAATGGCAAAAATACCCTTTAGATGGGTCAAAAGATGCACACTCCTGTATTTAGTGTCCTTGATCAGTCATGAGCAGTTTGGTGGGCTCTCTTTTCCTCTCCTGCAGTGATCAATAGTGATGAAGATGAAAGATCTGGATGTAAAGGCTACAACTATGCTTCATTCTTGGATTTGTTATGCTTGTATCTTTTTATTTTTATTTTAAGCATGAGGAATAACACGTGAAGTAACAAAACTGTATTCAGACTTCACTGGCCTTTCTGATTCCCAATCAGATACATACACATGGATTCAGATAAAACAGGGTATGAATGTGATGTGCTTTTTAAAAAAAAAAAGATTTGATGTGTTTTAGCAACTTGACAGAATTTGTCAGTTTCCAGCTGAATCCCTCTTTTCAGGGATTTTAACTCAGCAGCCATATTTGTGCTGGGTTCTCAGTTTGGGAACACTTATTTTTTTATTTTTTTTTCCAAATGATGGGATGGGGGGAAAAATCAATTCTATTTTTAAATTAGAAGAGGTTCAAACAGGAAGAGAATGAAAAACTAGTGATATTTTGTGTGTGTGGCTGCTTTTCTTTAAGGATAGACTTTTAAAAAACAACTGAAATGTTGCAATCCGTAATGTAGATTACAGACTTCGGTCTTTTTTTTTTTTTTTTTTTTTTTAGAAAAATAAATTATAAAAGCAACCACAAGCTATTTGGTTTTGCATGAGTAACTGTTGTGGGTGTGCAGTAATTCAACAAAAATTTCCCAAGGATTTTTCACAGGCCCACTGGGTGCACACACAAAAGCAGCATTGTTACACTCTCTATGGCCTATTGTGTCCATGATCTACATGTTAAAGCGTCCCTAAACATTAGCTAACAGAGTAGACAGCAATGGTTCAGAAGAAGGCAGTGTAGCCTATTGATCTAATAATTCACCTTGTGCAAAAGCCCCTATATAGAGATGCACATGATAGAGTTCTAAAGAGCATCAACCCCATCCTTCAACTTGCCCAGCCTCAATGTTGCAGCACAAGCCACACACTGGAATACCCAGGCACAACAGAGAGTGAACTGACTACAGTGTTAATCTCTGGGTCTGAATTCACTTGGTTTGGTGGGTTTAAATTACATCCATGGTGTTGTATTAAAAGAGAATGTTTTGGGTTAATACAGACTTATGTATAGAATATCAGGGTTGGAAGGGACCTCAGGAGGTCATCTAGTCCAACCCCCTGCTCAAAGCAGGACCAATCCCCAACTAAATCATCCCAGCCAGGGCTTTGTCAAGCCTGACCTTAAAAACCTCTAAGGAAGAAGATTCCCCCACCTCCCTAGGTAACCCATTCCAGTGCTTCACCACCCTCCTAGTGAAACAGTTTTTCCTAATATCCAACCTAAACCTCCCCCACTGCAACTTGAGAGCCGGCTTTAAGCACAAAAAAAGCTAGTGACCACTTGGGGTCCACCCTTCTGAGGGCCTTAAGAAAATTTGCAACTGGCAGGCCATCTTGATTTCTCCTTCTGGCACAGAGATAGGAGAGGACGACACACTGATCTGATAGTGATTTGTTTTGGCAACTTGTGGCTCTATACATACTATAAGGCCAGCTTTGCCTGGGAAACTTTGTCACTTATAAAGGGGTGTAACTAATTAACCCGATCAAAGAACCAATTTTGAAAAGGATTTTTTTTTAAAATGCAAAGCCTGAGATTTTTAAAATAAATGCCCATGATTTAAATCTCACTGCAACTCATTTGTAATTCTCCCCTCCACTACTGTCACAAGTCAACCTGACTCCCCTGGGTGCTTCAGTTTAAAACATGCAACCAGAAAAAACATTAGGCATCAGGTTGTAGATTGTTCCACAAACAAAAGCTGTTGAATTTTTTTACCCTGAGCCAGGGCTCAGAAAGGTAAGTTGTTACATTTGCAAACGCCACCTCAAAAATGTGAACTGGGTGTAAATGACGGGGAGATGAGTCTGCAGACAGCCTGGAATGAGAGCTTGGACAGGTGTGAACTGTTCATCTAGCCCAGTCTCCTGTCTTCCCACGGTGACCTGTACCAGATGCTTCAGAGGAGAGAACAGAACAGGGCACGTTGAGTGATCCAACTACTGTTGTCCAGTCCCAGCTTCTAGCAGTCAGAGGTTTAGGGACACCCAGAGCATTGGGGTTGCGTCCCTGACCATCTTGGCTAATAGCTATTGATGGACCTATCCTCTATCAACTTTTCTAATTCTTTTTTAAACCCAGTCATACTTTTGGCCTTCAGAACATCCTCTGGCAACAAGTTCCACAGATTGCCTGCGCATTGGGTGAAGAAGTACTGCTTTATGTTTGTTTTAAACCTGCTGCCTATTAATTTCATTGGCTGACCCCTGGTTCGTGTGAGATGTGAAGGGGTAAATAATACTTCCTTATTCACTTTCTCCACACCATTGATGATTTTATAGACTTCTACCATATCTCCCCTCAGTTGTCTCTTTTCCAAGATGAACAGTCCCAGTCTTTTTAATCTCTCCTCACATGAAAGCTGTTCCATACCCCTAATCATTTTTGTTGCCCTTCTCTGTACTTTTTCCAATTTTTATATATCTTTCTTTGAGATTGGGCAACCAGAATTACACATGGTATTCAAGATGTGGGTATACCATGAATTTATTTTGTGGCACTATGATATGTTCTGTCTTATCTATCCCTTTCCTAATGGTTCCTAACATTGGCTTTTTTAATTGCTGCTGCACTTTGAGCAGATGTTTTGCAGAGAACTATCCACAATGATTCAAAGATCTTTTTCTTAAGCAGTAACAGCTAATTTAGACCCCATCATTTTGAATGTATAGTTTGGATTATGTTTTTCAATATCCATTACTTTGCATTTATCAACATTGAATTTCATCTACCATTTTGTCACCCAGTTTTGTGAGATCCCTTTCTAACTCTTTGCAGTCTGCTTTGGACTTAACTATCTTGAGTAATTTAGTATTGTCTGCAAACTTTGCCATCACACTGTTTACTCCTTTTTCAATAACATTACTACACCTCTACCCCAATATAACGCTGTTCTCAGGAGCCAAAAAATCTTACCGCGTTATAGGTGAAACCGTGTTATATCGAACTTGCTTTGATCCGCCGGAGCACTGCTTTACCACGTTATATCCAAATTCGTGTTATATCAGGTTGCGTTATATTGGGGTAGAGGTGTATGCTGGTAAAAGCCTAGTTTAGCTACAGTTTGCTAAACTGGAATAAGCTATACCAGTAAACACTTTTATACTGGGATAACTGTATCTACACTGGGGAGGAGAAGGGTGTTTGCTGCTTTAACTATGCTAGCATAGTTAAAGCTGCAAACTCTAGGCTAGACAAGGCCTCACTACTCTAGACAGAAGCTATAACATTCTTCATCTTAAATATTTTACTGAAACATAACTACAGGCAAGACAACCCTTCACAGACAGGAAAAGCTTTAGCCAGTGAGTGTAGTGGCATCTTAGGCACCAATGCTGTAACATGACATGCAAGCTATGCACAGAAACAAGCCTGCCAACTCTTTGGTCCCACAGTGAAAATAAGTAAGCAAACATACCGTACTTTAAAAAAACCCCAAAAATTACAACCATACAACTACAACCTCACCAAATGAATTTGCAAACAAGCTTCTGCAAGCCAGCTTTTGGTCCTTTTGCATTTTTCAATTGACTTTTTTTTTTTTAGCAGAGGGTATGTAGCTCCACCTAGCGTCATCCTTCTATATGATAGGAAGCAGCTACCCTATATTACAGGCAGTATTTCCCTACAGATTAAACAATAAGTGATGGACTCCTCAGCTTTGCCACAGTTGCTAATATTGCAGAAATTTGTCTTCATTCATGGTTATAAATAAGCTTGGCAGAATTCTATTTTTATTTTTTTAATATAATTTTAATGGATAATTTCAATGTTTATTTTAAAATATTTTTTCAACTTTCATCCATTTTAAATTTTCACATTTGTGGGAAATTATAAGGGGTTTAGACAATGGGGAGGCGGTTGATAGACTATTTCATGACAAGATGCTGAGATTCAAAACGTTAAAGCTTTATAACCATTAAAACACAAATTGTCAACATCACATGACAAATATGCAAAGAAATATCTTTAAATAAAGCTCTACGTTTTCTCAAGCAGCATTTTTCTTACTTTGCCTATTTGTAAATTTCTATTTCTAACGTATTTTCATTGGTTGGTGTGTGTACAGTGAAATCAGCATGTACTGATTTATTCATAAAAATCTAATCCTTTCAATCCTAGTTATAAGGCTACTTACCGCTGCTTCACATTATCAAAGTGCTGTAGAAACGTTAGCTGATTCAGCCGAGTAGTACCTCCAGTCTGGATGTATGACATGCTGGAAAAGAGATGTCAATTTGAAATCTAGCTTTTCCTCCCCTCTTTTTAATATTGTCTAAAGTCCCACACCTGCCCTTGAGTCCCTGCCAAATTTTGCGGTTTTACACACACACTTGCTATTTTTTGAAAACATCTTTATTCTCTGTTGGATACAAACGAAGAGATGCTTATTGCTAACTAACGAGAAAAGGGAAACTATACCTGGTCTGTTTCAGCTAAGTGCCATCAAATGCAAAGCATAGCCAAACTAAAAAACTCCAGTTTTGTTCTCTTAAAGATGTATAGTTTTTATAGTGGAACAATTTTTATAGTGGGGGCGCTGAAGGCAGAAACCATGTATTTGAGTTGTTATTACTACTTCAAGACAAGTGGTGCGGTAGCACCCCTAGTTCCAGCACCCATGTACAGACTTAGTTTTTTATCTAAAAGAGAAACATAACCCCCCCAACTTAGGTAGGAGTGTAATTTTCAAATAGTCTTTTTAATATACAACAATATGAATATTACATAGCCATTGTCACAGTATAGCAAACTCCAGATCTGTTTAATCCAGTACCCTGCCTTTGACTGTAGCCATTACCACGTCCTTCACAGGAAGCTCATGCAGTCAGAAGTTACGTTATAACCAACCAAGTTTCTTTCTAATCCCAATTAGACTGGTTTATTTCTGAAAGCATGAGGGGGTTTTAACTCTTCCAAAACTCATGTTTTAAATCCGTACTATTTACTATTGTAACGGTTACAATAACTTTTTGACATTGACCTATTCTCTCCCATAGATATTAGATAATTCTGCTTTCAAAATATTGCTCTCTGTCAGTACAAATAATGAAGCAATGGGAAAACCGGCTACCATATGTTCAGATGTTCTCTTCCTCTAGAGGCTGGAAGCATTTTGCAGATGAGCTAGGGGAGCAAGTAATTTCCAGCAGGTCATGGTTGCTAAAGACATAAAGCCTGAAAACAGTCTCAATCCAGTTTGATCCTTGAAAAAAGCAACAGAAGGTCCTGTGGCACCTTTGCTTTTTACAGATTCAGACTAACACGACTACCCCTCTGTTACTTTGATCCTTGAGTGGCTCTTGACTTACAGTGCTGTAATGACAGCTGGATCAGACCCTGCATCACTCACTGTGTGTGTGGGAGAACTCAGGACACACTTCTCTAGTATTCAGAGAGCACGGGTGTGTGATGTAGATGCAACAACCTTCGCCGCAAACTGGCAGGTTCTTCATGGGGAGCAGATGCTCCAGCCCTCAGGATTTCAGCCCTTGCCATCTCATACTCAATAGCAGAGTACAGTGCACCAGTATGGAGTTGGTTGGCACACACCAAACTTGTTGATGAGCAACTCAACTCAACAATGTGCATCATCACAAGAACTCTCCGACTGACTCATCTTCCATGGCTTCCAGTTCTAAGCCACATCGTTCCCTTACCTCAGGAGGGAGATTGCAGCTGGCAAGCTGCTTGAGAAGGTACAAGACAACCCCAGCTTGCCAGCTTACCCCAATGACCTTTTTAGCCCACCAGCTACACATCTTTCATCACAACACACATTGTGGTTGAGGCTGCTATGCCAGGACATGACAGTGGAGTTCCTGTGGCGGGAAGACTGCTGCTTAACATCAACCACCAATCAGTATCTCGTCACAGACCCTACTGTTCACCCATCTGGCTTTGACATGCCATGTTGTCAGTGGGTCTTTGTTAACTGATTCTGGACCGGGCAAGGCCTTCGTGCAGCCAACCAGCACCATTGGGGTCTTCGAGACAATCCAAGCTGTGGGGCAGATCAAACAATAATATGCATTGTCGAGGAACGCTTGCTAACCAAATTCTGCAGTGAGCTCCAAGAGCTCCACTTGGCCACTAAGAATGCTATTGCCTGGCAAATATGCAAATGCTAATTTAATAAATAAGTTCCTGACGTTCAGCAGAGGGGAAGTGGAGTGACATTGCTTTAATGGCTGACAGGCAAAAGAGCACATACGGGTGCAGGAGGAAGAATCCTGTCCCACTCCGGCTTTGTCTTCACCACAAAAAGGTGATTTTCCCAGCTGGGCAAGTGTAGTGGATTTTGTTGTTTTCCCCATGGAGCTAGGCGCGTTCAGCACTATACCCCGGCCTGTGGTCCAACTCCTCTAGCTACCTAGTTGTAAAGACCCTAGTGCCTCGTCTCTACTAGGAGTTACAGCAGGCTCGCTACCCCGCAGCAGGTAGCCTGGGGTCAAGGATGCACTTTCGGCTAGTGAAGAGACAGCCTAATAGGGGGTAAGACCTGGGCTGGGGCAGGGAGGGACGATAGGGGACCAGTCCCCGAGGAAGGGGGGAGGGACCTGTCCTACTGAAAGTGGGGAGATGGGAGGCCCTATACCAGTGAGGGGGGCATTGCCCCACTGAGGGTGAGGGGGTTCCTATGAAGCGTTGAGTAGCTGGAGGCAGATGCCACGCGGGAATGAGGGGCTGGGGGAGGGGAGGATGAGGCGATACTAGCTCCACCAGCCATGACTTAACTCTCCTGCTTAGGCAGGCCCCCTTCGGCGCATGCGCAGTTGACTCCACAATCACATGACCACCTGAACCCAAGCACCCCCTCGACACAGCCTGCGCGCGCATTACAATCTTCCCTTCGCTGCCGCGCGGGAAGGGCACGTTTCTCCTCTCGCGCAGCTAGAACCCACACGCTCCATGGGCCGCCTCCTCATTGGCCGGGGCCCGCCGGATAGACCCTTGAACCCTCCTCCCATATCCCTCCCCCGATCACGGTGCCTTTTGATTGGCTTGAGGTGGAGCGCGTCCCGCCCTCTTCGCCGCGTCCGCTGATTGGCTGACGGCTGGGGGGCTCGCGGTCGTGTTCGGACCCGCCCACTCCGTTCTGTGTCGCGCGACTGTGTCTCTCATCTCGCCGCTTTTCCTCCTCCCCGCGGTGAACGTGAGGGAAGGAGGGAGGAAGGGGTCTTGCGGGCGCGGTGCACGCCGGGATAGGGAGTGCTCTGCGGCCAGGAGGAGGCAAGATGGATGCGGGCTTCTTCCGCGTAAGTGTTCCCCTAAGCGGGCAGGTGGAGCGGCCCGGCCGGGAGAACGCGGGGAGCCGGGCCGCTGGGCAGCACCGCGACGGGCGCTGCCGCCGCCGGGTCCCCCCGCGAGCGCGGCCCTGCCTCCCTCCTCTCCCGCCCTGCGCAGGCTCCCGTGAGGAGCCGCGGCGCAGAAAATGGCGGCCGGAAGGTGGTCGGTGCGGTTCGTTCCACCCGCGGGGGGGGCCGCGAGGGGACGGTGGGGGTCTCTGGGGCTGGGTATGTTGGAGGAGGGAGGAGCCTGCCCTTTCCTCTGGGGCTGGGGAGGGTATGTCGGGGCGGGGGGCAGCTCTTACCCCCTTCCCCCGCACGCGCGCACTCATCTCCCGGGCCTGAGCCGCCAGGACGAGCCGGGCCTTTCCGTGCGCTAGGCCTCCGCCAGGCCCTGCTGCCATGTGGGCCGCGCGGGCCTGGTGTCCCGCGGGAGGAAGAGGGGTCTCTCCAGCCCACGCTAGGGGCCCGGGCTGGGACCCGAACTCCGCTCGGCGTGGGCGCCCTGGAGTCTGGTTCCTGAACCTCCTTCTGCGCCTGCTACTTGTCGTCCTGGCCAGCGACCCTCTTGTTTTGGTCATGCGATGGAGACGGTTGTCCAGCCCTGACAGCTGGGAAACTTTATTTATAGCGATACCTAGAACGCATCTGCTTTATCACCATGAGATGGTAGGGAGAGAGAGAGTGATTTTGGCCTTTAGGTCCTCCGGTGCCAATCAGGTAGCAGAAAACAATTTGATATTCTTCCTACCTCCCCGGGGGCGGAAAACGGATCTTCACATATGTAATGGTCTAGTTACTTAGTGGGTGCAAAGCATTGGGCAAAAGCAAGTGATTAAAAAATGGCTATCCTGGGTGTTTGTTCATGTTGGCTTTTGCCTTTGCTAAAACAAACACTGTGGGGGAAAAATATCGGGAACATCCTTAGAGGCTATAAAACTTAAATATACTCTGGATATGTTATTGTGTATCCTTCTCCCCTTTCCCCATCTTATTAGAATTAACTGGTTTTCCGTATGGGACTACAGCCAGAGGCGATCGTGAGAGTAGGTGGCACTAAAAATATCAACTTAATTTAGCTTGGAAGAAAGACTCCAAAGCAAAGGCTGTTTGGTTGTGTACGCATGGTGCTTTAAAAACACAAGAAAAGGTTATTTTTGCCTCAGGGAGTATACAGTCTAAGGGCATCCTCCTGCAAACACTGGACTCTACATTTACTGCTTCACAGAAAGAATTGGTATGCCTGGTCCTCTGGCTTTGCAGAGTTTGGTTCAAAGTCTGATGATTCAGGGTTTTTCCAAGTGATGTGTTTTTACACACACAGCTTTTATGGTCAGTAAGTACTCAAATAATTACAGTGAAAATACCTTTTTTGTAAACACATTTTTAGTTTTTGGGATTATTATAAAAGCAGGTTAGCAGTTTAATCTCTTCCTCAACGCAAAGAGGACTGTTGCTATTGTTGATAATCTCGGGACGTTGCATGTTCTCAACACAATGTGTACAATTTACAAATTGGCTTCTTCATTGAAATGCAGATTGTTCATGCAATTTCAAATCTCTCTTGGTGACCAATGCTGCTTACCATGCCTTGTGAACGTCTAGGCTATGGGGCTGAGCAAAATTCCAACTGCTTTTTTCTGCCTCCGGTGGGGGGGGCAGAGAATCTTATTTCTATATCTGACTGCAGAATCTTGAATATTTGGGTGATGTGACAAATATGCTAAATTCAGGTTTGACTGAAGAGGGCACACATCAAGCATGGAAGCACTGTGGCTAGTCTTGTATTCAGATGTATCTTAATCCTTGAAAATAAATGCTAGCCCCTAGGATTTCTATTCTTCAGAATTACAGAGGAGAACATTAGGAGTTATAGCCCCATCTCTGTATGTAATGACTTCATTTATAGCATTTTATCTTGCTGACACATCTGAAGGTGCTTTTGTAGAAGATGCACAATTTTACAATACAGTCTGCAGTGTCAAGTTAATAACTGAAAGCAAGCAAAAACAAATGTGCTTTTATTTTTTTGATTTAAAGTGGCAACATTCTTATTTCATGTCTCTAGGCATGGAGTTAGATGGTACTCAGGTTGAAGCAGTCATGCAATATAAGACTGGTGAGCTTGCAGTTCAGGATCAGATTAATTCAATTTATGTTTGCATAATAAAGAGTGACTGGAGATCTTGGATTAAATTCTAAATTGCTTTAAATCAAGTGGATGGAGTACCTTAATGCAGCAAAAGCTCAGTATACTTGCTTGCCCTCTAGTTCCATCCCAAGCTGTATGGTTGGACCAGTATGTTAATATAAATACTTACCATATTGTAATGTATGGGAAGGTGCGTGTATAAATGCCTCTCTTTTGAATCAGTTACAATAGTAGCTGGTTAAATAAGAAATATATGAATATGAAAACATAGTTAGTGATTCAAGACTAAACAAATGAACAATGTTTCAGAACCTTTGGTCTGGACAAACTGAGCTATATTAACATTTGTTGCATCATGTTTTAAAAAAAATACAATATTAGGACCCAATCCTGCAAATTCATACTTGCATGTGTATGAAGTAAATAGATCTTGCAATGCAAATGTTGTTTCCAGGATTATTCAATCTCTGACTATAGTTTCACTATACATGAAAGTGAATCAATCATTTATAATGCTGTACAATCAACAAAGCAGGATTCCCCTCTTTATAACCTGTTGCTTATTACATGCTAGATTAATGAACTGTGAAGGGTGGTGGTAAATTTCAAAGAAATTTCACCTGAAGCTTGAGTAAAGGATTGAGTATTTGTAATCTTCTGATAATTTCAGTGTATAATGTCATTTCTGATGTTTTAGCTCTTAAGGCCGGGTCTACATTCAAAAGTTGTCGACCTGTGTGTGAAAAGTCCACTCCCCTGAGTGACAGATTTAAGCCAACCTAACCCTCAGCATAGATGGCTCTTCTTCCCTGGACCTAGCTACCGCCTCTCCAGGAGGTCAATTTAACTATACCAGCAGGAGACACCCCTCCTGTTTTTTTGGTGAGTGTCTACACTTGTAGCGCTACAGTATCTGCAGCTGTGCCTCTGTAGTGCTTCAAGTATAGATAAGCCCTGAGACTCCGATTTAAAACCAAATCTATCTTTGACACCAGATTTCAAGAAGAAAATGAAGCACTTGAAGTTACTAAAAATAACGGGGGCAAGGGTGACTAGCAGTATTAAAAAGATTTCTCCTTTGATCTATACCATAAATGCTCCAGTTATTTCCTTCTGCTTTTTTCTGCTCTTGGACAGAAAAAAATGAACTGATTCCTGCTGAGCAGATCTCTTTGAGAAGGCTGTATACTGCGACTCAAAATTATTTGACAGCATTGTGCATGCTTTTAGATTTGCAAGTACTGCACCATGGTGAATTATATGATTTAAGTGTCAGAGCTCTGAAACCTGATTACCGTTTTCAGTAGGATATGACGATTGGTTAGTGAAGTGGAATGCTTCTTGAAGGTGTCTGCACGGGTGGTACAACTGAATATTTTTTTAATTGCTTTGCAGTTTATCAAAATTGTGTTTAATGCAAATACACCTCTACCTCACTATAACGCTGTTCTCGGGAGCCAAAAAATCTTACCGCGTTATAGGTGAAACGGTGTTATATCGAACTTGCTTTGATCCACTGGAGTGCGCAGCCCCGCCCCCCCGGAGCACTGCTTTACCGCATTAAATCCAAATTCGTATTATATCGGGTCACGTTATAGCGGGGTAGAGGTGTAATATATGGCAAGTGACAAGTGGCAGACTAGCTGTGGAATCAAGTTTGATGTCATACTGACTAAAATCTTTCTATTGTAGGGAACGAGTGCGGAGCAGGACAATCGCTTCAGCAACAAACAGAAGAAGCTGTTGAAGCAGCTGAAATTTGCAGAATGTCTAGAAAAGAAAGTAAGTTGAGTTAGTTTATTTGGGCATGATGGGTGTGGAATAAAGTAAACTTTAAAGATATCACAACCAAGATGCACAAGACAAAATTCTGAATGGCTGTCAATGATTTGTATAGACATTGGAGGGAAGTTGCACACAAAAATACCTATGTGCATACAAATGATGTTCAGGATATCCAAATGCATATTAAAGTACACCCTTTAAAAGGGCACACATGATATATTTATAATATTAAAAAGATAGTGCCAGTAAGCTTTGGGCCCAAATTTAGGGTTTGGTTTTAAAAAGAGAAAACCAATTTTCAAGATGAATAGAGAATATTATTTTCAAAAGCTCCAAAGTGACTTGTTTCTAGATGCTTTTAAAATATTGCCCAAACTGTCTTCATGATTTTTTTACATTTCTTTTTTTTTTTTTTAAAGTTAGGCATTACCTACTTTAACTCGTAGTAAAACTGATGCACTTGCAGTGTGTCCTCAGTAGGAAGAGAGAGAATGACTAGAGAAACTAAATTGTAGTCAGGGGTTAATGA